GGGCCCTCGGGCCTCCGGCCTCTGGGCCTGCGGCTCGGTTCACTCTGGCACAGCTGGCTGCCGGCAGAGCCAGCGGGCACGCCGGTGCAGCCCCCTCTAGCTTCTGCTCGGTGGCTACTGGGTGACGCCTCGTCTGGGGATCCTCAGCCCTTCCCATGAGGGTGGCACGATGCCCCTCCAGTGGTCCTCCTTGGGCTCTTATACTCTGGGGCCTCTGGATGTCTGGGGCCTGGATCTCCTCCATGCCTGCTTCATGCCCTGGGGGACGGGGCTATGGCACATTATACACAGTTCAGATTTCCCCTCCTGACCTCTGTCATTGAAAACAAATGGTATATAACCAAGTTTTGTGATTAACTTTTCTTACTGATCAAATACTTATTTTCCACCATAATTAGCAAAAAATTCTTTAGTAATTGGTGTGGCACGGACTCCACACACACAGACACACACACACACAGACACACACACACACACACACACACACACACACACACACACAGGATTTCTGTGCTCACAACTCTTTGCGACTTTCAGCTGTTTCACTTTTCAACGTGACAGCACAGGTAACTCCAGGATAGGGATGGGTATCGTTTAGGTTTTATCCGATACCGGTGCCAAATACGTACTTTTGAAACGGTGCCGGTGCTTAAACGGTGCTCAAACCGGTGCTTAAAGAATGGAGAACACCAACTTTGTCCAAAAACCTCTCACGTTCAGCTGTTTTTTTGTAAAAAGATAACAATGTTAGCCTTTTCTGCAGCTATGGGGCATATATGGTATCACTCTTGGCTGGAAGCAGTGCTTAAACAATGGAAAAAAACACAAACTTTGTCCAAAACCTCTCATGTTCAGCTGTTTCCCTCTTTTTCTTTGGTCATTTTAGCCTTTTTGGCCAGGGTGAAGGGAGTATCTGCCATCAAACAAGAAGACAGCCGCATGTAGCTATGATGATGTTTGCTAGTTCACCTTACATGCATTAATGTAATAATGTGGTTAGCCTACTCAACGTAAATTACACACGAACATTAAGCTACTCACGCAGAGAAGAACGGCTGCTGCTGCATCATCATCCTCATCATTTCTGCTACACTGGCAGGGCTAGGGGCCAGGACTCTCCTCTTCGGGTTCTTGGGGGATGCTATGCGTCGCCAGGTGATTCATCGGATTCGAGGTGTTACCTCCTTTGACAGTATCACAGTATCAGCTTAAAGCACTTGTTGCTGCTGAGTTTGCATATTTTGCTGTGAAGTACAGCCAGACTTTTGACCGCTTCGTCTTGGGCATTTTTAATCTGTAGCTCTGCTCTAAAAGAACGTACGTACCTGGACCCGCCTACTATCCTCGGAAACGTAAAATGATTGGCTAGAATCTAAAGTGTATCACAGCTCAGGGAAAAAAAGCACCGAAATAAAGCACCGAAATGTGCGCTGCTTTTCGGTCTGGTTACTACTGTTTATGTCAGAACCAGTGCCATCATGGCACCGGATACCGGTACCCATCCCTACTCCAGGAGCATCCCCTGCTCTCACGACTCCTCACACTCTTCTCCTCACCTCCTTCATCACTGTACATAAATAGAGCAGAAAGAGCATGATTAATTTTAGTCCACACCTAATTCCTCTGCCACCTCAACGCTGCCCTGAGAGCTCACCATACTGCAGCAGGCCAGAGACCACACCCCCACCTCAATCAGACAATGTGATTTTTTTTGGATTTTCTTTTCTCATTTTGTCTCTCATAGTTGAGGTATACCCAAGATGAAAATTACAGGCCTCTCTCATCTTTTTAAGTGGGAGAACTTGCACATCTGGTGGCTGACTAAATGCTTTTTTGCCCGACTGTATGTGGCTTAATTTTTTACCTCCCAATAAGAAGTTTTCATTCTTCCTCATGTTGGAAAATGCCACTAAGAGTGTACGGAGAGCATCAAAATATGATACGAAGGGGTTTTTGATCAAACCTCTGCGTAGGCTGATGTTGGGTGAACCGGTGCATCTAACAGGTTAACATTTTCACTTTGGAGTTTGTTTCTTTTCATGTCATGTTTTGTTTGTTTCTCATCAGGTTCATCATTTACAAAGCACCTGGAGAGATTATCCCTAGATCTAACCCTAGAAGATATAACAACAAGATGAACTACTTGTACATTGATTCAGCAAACAGCAAGTCCTACATGCACAATAGACCCGACTACAAGAACCTCAAAGATCCATCTGGTGCCTTGGCCCACACCCTGAGACCAGTCTTGAAGAAAATTAGAAACATGGTGAGACCATTAGTTTGGTCCAGTAATGGTCCTCTACCAAAACACATCATTTAATGCATATGCTGGAAACACTCAATACAGGTACACGTGCAGATTTAAAGTGTGAATGCTGTTTTATCATGATTTTTCATTTTAGCTCCATGAAATGGAGAGAAATAATGATTTGCTTAAATTGTAGGTGCTTAACAGTAGTTCTGACATATCCAGTTGAAACTATTACAAGCGCATGCAAGGGATTGAAGAAAAACAATGGCTGGGTAGTGCTGTCAGTGGACAAGTGAAAAAAACAACATGCCCACTTTAGTCGAAGAGGCAAAAGCGCATCACATGAGACAGCTTCAGGCAACTGAGGAATTTTTATTACCAGGAGAAAAAAATCCACATCCAGAAGCAGGAATTAGATTAGATTCAGTGTTTTCACCATTTCACAAACGTCTATGAGACTGTGCTGTCATGTAGGCGGAGGATGTCTCTTGAAAGTGTTAATGCAGATTTTTTCTTTTTTTTTTTGTATGATTTACAGCTGCCAAACTTTGGATTCATCAGCTACAGTGATCAACCTCCAGGATGTTCCTCACATACCACATTTGGCCACAGTAAAGGTAAAGAAAGCTTCTTTTTACAGACAACACATTGTCAAACATATAAAACAAACACTGGAAAAAGTTTGTTAGACTATTGATCTTATAAAATGACTGAATCATTATTATGAAGGCAGTGAAAGGATTAAAGTGCTTTGAATAAAATGCATCCTATTCCTTATTTTATGACCAGCACTGTAACTGTTTACTGTCCACAGGGGTGATCATGGTGGAAAGAGACAGACCTGGGGTCTGGCTCTTGCACAGCACACCTCAATTCCCCTTCAGAAGAGACCAAAACAATTTCTGGCCTGAATCTGGATTACAACTTGCTCAGACGTTCATCTGTGTAACTTTCAACTATAACCAGTTCATACAGATCGGTAAAAAGCTCAGTTCGAACTCTGGACATTTCACAATTTAAAGCCCAGAGGCTGATCTAAACCTCACAGTAAAGATCTTGTTTAACTTTTTCCAGGTAAACATCTGCAGTACATCAGAGCTTTTCCATTTGAACATGATATTCCAGATGATTTCCATCAAGAGCTCATAGATGCAACAAAATGGGTTGAAGTTCCCCCATCGAGTGATTACCAAACACTCACATCAGGAGGAGGTCTGAGGTTTTATAGCATTGCTAAACAACAGTTGCAAGAGCCAGGTGAGATGTCTGCATGTTTAAAGGTTAAAGTAATAATCATCCTTTAAATTACACTGTGGAGGTATGGCACAGATGACACAGGAACTCCAGCTTTTCACTCCGACTTTATCCGTCTCCACATAACTTTGCGCCACACACTTGACAACAAACCTCCCAGCAACCTGGGTGTGAGTGGAGCCCCCTAGTTGGCTGCCATAACACCCGTTTTTGTTGGTTAAGCTTTTAATGGTTACAGTGATATTTGTCTGGTCTTAAACCAGACAAATATCATTGGGGATGAGAATGGATGACTTGGAATCTTTAAAGAGAGGACAGGTTTTAGGATCAGCCTAGCTCAATGCCAGTTGACATATATGTATTTACATCCAAATAGAAATTTAGGCGATGATATTTATGCTGCCTATAGCTGCCGACAGCTGCATATCTGAAATCCACGTACTGTTATTCACTTTGTTACTGACGTTATGTCTTCATCAATGGCTGAAATGCAGTGTCTGAGAAGAGAGTGTGAGTGTAAACGGGTTTTAAAAGGTTCAATGTTTCAAAAAGACAGGAAATGCTTTAAATGCTCCTTGATCCTTTTGCAGATGGAGACCTGTACCACACTATTGCCCAGGCAGTTCAGAGTCATGTGTATGCAGACGTGGCCCTGCCAGAAAGATCGGGCCGATTCTGACTGCTCAGGCCCCAATCATGTGTACAACATTAAAACTATAAAAAAGGTTCTGGGTCCTGCTAGTACATGGAGTCCTACAAAGGACCATTCAAAGTGGTGTGTGACCAACAGTGAATCCAACAGTGAATGGACCTGTATAGCTGATGTCAACAGGGCTCAAACCCAGTATCAGAGACGAGGCGGGGCGCTGTGCATTGAGAACAGAGACGTAAGAGACAAGTTCTGGGAGTTTGCTAGAGAGTTTGATGAATGTAGTACGACCCCAACCACCATGGACACCAGTGACTGTGAGCCTGACTCAAAAATAATCCACTTGGATCCGTCAGTGACAGGCTGAAAACAGCTCAACTTTACTTCACTGTGGACTTTACCAATCCTGCCATTAAATATTAAAAACATAAGGAAAAGGAAAGATTCGTAAGTGTTAGTTTAATTATCATTCTGAAAAGATGTGTGACAATATGACAAACAATAAAATAATAAATCTGGATAAAATACATCTGGTTTATGTTATGTTTGTTATGCTTTCACTCATTGTCATTTATTCTGCAGTTGTTGACCCTTTCTGCAGTGCCTCCTGGTGTTTGAATTTCTGCTTCTTTAATTTTCTTTCATACCTAAGAAGATGAATTAATTGCTTAATTAAAAGGATACAAATACAGCTTCAATTAACTTGTGTTTTTGAACAATAACACAGTACTCACTTTGAAACATGCAGTCAAAATAAATTAAACACTACTTACACACAAAATAGTGTAATTTATATTTCCCTTTTGTTTTTTATTTTCATTTGAATATTAAGGTTTTCCTAGAAGAAGTTCGTTAACATTTTGCTGATAAGTGAAGATTCTCAGGAGAAACAGAAAAACAGGAGACCACACAGGACTGTGTGAACTTTGTGTGTACATTTGTTTGAAATATTAACGAAATACTGTGTCAACACAAATTTGATTTTCCCAGAAAAAACAGGATAAAAAGGAAAAACTGAAGATCTCTCAGATATTGTATCCCTTACTATTTGCTCCCCATTTTATTGCTTAATAAGCTCAAGGTTTAGTGTACTTGAACTGTAAGAAATAGAATCAATTTCAATTACAATTCCATACAATTGTATTTTATCTTCAATAGAACACAGAAAAACATCAAATGTTTGAACTGAGTAATCATGCCATTTTACATTCGCCTGCTATGAAGCCATGCTGCTGGGATAAATGCAGTATGTGGTTTAGCATCATCATGCTGACACATGAAGGCCTTCCCTAAAAAGGATGTCTGGATCAGAGCATTTCCTGCTCTATAACCTGTACATACTGTTTAACATGTACGCCTTTTCAGATGTGAAAGCTGCTATGGCATTAGGCACTAATGCAGCACCATACCATCAGAGATGCTGTTTTTAGACTGAATCATCTTACTAACCTGTTATCAACTAATCATGTGTAAAATGTTCCAACAGTTCTTTCTTTCTTAGTATTACTTTCTGTTCCAGGGTTCTGTTGCCCCCATCGCAACATTTTTGAGATGTTACGGCAAAAAAGAAAAGAAAAGAAGAAGTTCCAGACATAGTAATTATGCAAAATATAATGTGATTCTCAGACATGTTTTAAAAATACATGAGAATCCTACAAACTGTGGGCCGGTATGCTACTGGAGCACCTGCAGGAAATCCATTTAACATCTGAAAAGTCAGATGTCCTGAGATATGCATAACAACAAATTACCTCTGAGGCAATAACAGAGTGACCAAATTACTGAGAAGAGAGAAAACAGCTGTTTAGGTCAGTTCTGTTTATGTCATGTATTTTTAAGGGACAAAGTCCACGCAAATATTGACTGGTCTGAAAGTTTGAGGATGATAAGCTGTAAACAGAGACCTGTTCCTGTAAATGTCTAATCAAATAAAGAACACGCCAGGTGAACGCTGTTTTCTATTTTTCATGCTATGAGGAGTGTTAAAAAGATGAATCAGACAGAAATGCATTTGCAAGTAGAAGTTTGAGAACACATCGTCTAAATAAAAATTATGTAAACAGAATGTGACTGAAAAAAAAAATCAAAGCAAAAGAGTTCTACTGTCTAATGTTTTCATTAGAACCATACATCACTTTCTCTTAACCACCACAGAAGAGAAGAGCTCCTTTCTACACTCAAGCTAAAGCTTTAATAACAACGAGCACCACAATTCGGATAATTTTCTTCGACTTCTCTGGCCCCGATAACATGATCCAGGCCAGGATGCTGAGGGAGAAGCTGGAAGACATGCAGGTGGAGGATACACAGGTCCAGTGGATCAGTGACTTCCTGACAGGCAGACCACAGTTTGTGAGACTGCAGCAACTGAGCACCCTGTTCTGTCCCCTTTCCTCTTCACCATCTGTGACTGTCTCCTCCAGAAATTCTCTGATGACATGGCCAACTCGAGACCGCTTCCTCTCATCTCATGGTACACAGAGTGTACACAGTCCTTATCAGACCTAATAAGGTTAAGATATTTTATCAACATATAAATGATTATATATCTCCAAGCATAAATAATTATATGTTTCTAAGCACAAATGACAACCTAAAAAATATCAATTCTAACAATTACAAGTGCTTTTCTGATGAAGACTTTTTTAAACTGTGTCCAAAAGTCCTCAGCAGTGGAAACACCACAGTTCAAAATCCCAAGTGCAAACCTTTTTCTCTGCAGTCCTCAAGATGCTCTCAGCTGTTTAACTTTAGGTAGAGTAGAAAAGCTTTACATATTTCAATACCACTGAGTGTTACATAAGACCCTGAAAACAAGGTGACAGTTGCTTCCCAAGCAAAAACCTCTGCATGTGCTCAGAAATCACAACAAATAAGACAATAATAAGACCAAACATATAAGTGACATAAGAGGCTAGGGAAAGAGCAAGCATGAAGTGAGATGCTGTTTGTGTGTGTACGTGTGTGCACACTTGTTCAAGGTCCCTCTCGTTATGTACCAGTGTGATAAAGTCCTGAATGCAGCCTTCAGTTCTGAGCCTTAAAGAACATACACTCAGCAGCAGAATAGAATCACGTATAACTACATTTATACATTTTCTAAATTACCAATTATTACATGCACATTCCTGCAACAATGTGATACAAAATGTGAACTACAGTTGGTGGTTTTAGCATGGAATGGCATAACAAGCAGGCTAGTTTCCAGATTAGGGCATAAGTTAAGTCCTGATTTAACTCAGTAAAAAGTGAATCACATTTGAAGCAGAAAACCCGGGGTTAACCCTGAAGTTACCTGGATATGACAAAATCTCCTCTTATACTAGAGGCCTCTGTTGTCAGGGGTGGAACACTTCAAAAAGACTCTGAATGACTTGGACATTAGGACAGACGCCATAACCACTGAAGAAACTGCAGCCGTGATCAAACTCCTTGAGAATGGCAATGCATTGGGCATGTACATGGTGTCTGCAGAAATGCTGAAGCACATCAGTGCCCCGTCAGCTTATGTTGGTCATCGGCACAAGTGCAAGAAGATTGGCTAAGAGGAGTTACAGTAAAGCTCCCCAAGAAAGGCAACCTGGCGGACTGCAACAACTGAGGAATCACACTATAGCCGAAGACTTCATAAGGCCCTGGACCAGAAATTCCGGGAAGAACAAGCCGGATTCTGCAGTGGCTGGTCGTGCACAGAGCAGAATTTAATCCTGTTCACAATCACCGAACAGACTTTGGAATACCAGCAGCATCTCTCGATTAATTTTGTCGATTTCACATAGGCATTTGATAGCGTCATATGGCATCCCTGAACAGTTCATCAAAATATTCTGAACCCTCTACCTTCGATCCAGTTGCTGCGTCCTCACAGAGGATCGCTACATCACCACTGAGACCAATATGAGGAAAGGGTGCATTCTATAAAATAAAATAAAAATATTACTGCATTGTGGTTTAGGTAAAAAAAAAAGAGAAATTAATTCACTTAAATGCGCATTCATGTGAAAATAAATACACTTCCAGACCAAAGCCAAAATTTCCTTTCATGTACAATAGTAAATGGAACAATGCTGCCATCTACTGGGCAAAACTTAATAAGCAGTACTTCTTAAACAGAATTAGCCTGCAGCACAAAATACACATACCTGCAATAACATGGGACATGAGTAACCATGGGTTTCCAGCAACAGGATCCCGCCCAACTATCAAGAGAAATTTCAAATTATTAGACACGACAGTCTCCTCTAGCTGTTAGCTGCTAGCTCAGCGTGTCCATTTTTCCTACCGTCTAACCCATTAATTGCGAAACAAGATCATAAAACTGAAATCTACTCAGATGCTACTGTATGGGCAGTTCATGCTGTTAATGCTGTCATGTTAACCTCAATGGGGATCTTCAAATATGTTTTAAACTCATGTTCAGTCAGGGCGGACTGAGGAAGAACTTACCACAGCAAAAGCTTCATTGCTACTAAAGGGATAAGCTTAGGGAAAGCCCGTTTACCAGTAGCAGACTTCCACTGCGGATTTTCAAAATAAAAGTTTTAAAATAAAATCTTTCAAAATAAACCCATGGTTGTGATCCCAAGTTTAACAGGAATTTAACCACAACAAAACCATGTTCATTATTTTACATCGTTACACATACTTTCACTTACCTAACATTAACCGACTTCGTCCCTTCCTTACTCCCCGTGCTGCTGCCATCCTTGTCTATAGTCTTATTACTTCCCAGATCAATTATTGCAACTCCCTCTTATTTGGTCTCCCCAATAAGTCCCTCCATAAACTTCAACTTCTTCTTTCTGCAGCTCAGGTCATAACTCATACTCCATTAAGAGACCATATTACCCCAATTCTTCAACAGCTTCACTGGTTGCCCATAGAAGCTCAGATAAACTTTAAATATTTAATTCTCACGTTTAAGTGCATCCATAACCTTGCCCCTCCTTATCTGTGTGATCTGCTTCAAATAACCTCTGTTTCCTGCTCTCTCAGATCTTCATCTGCCACTCATCTTGTTGTTCCTTCTGCTCATCTTGTCTTTCAGTTGCTCTGCTCCTCGGCTCAGGAACTCACTTCCTCCAGTTATAAGAAATATAGATTCCATTCCCTTATTTAAGTCACAGCTCAAAATTATTATTACTATTTATTATTACTCATTATTATTACTATTACTATCATCATTATTATTATTATTATTATTATTATTATTATTATTATTATTATTATGCAGACTTCTATGGACCAAGATGGCTTTGGGATACCTTGGCGTCCATCAACACGCCAGACGGACCTCAACTTCACAGATGGCATTGTTTTGTTGGCTGACGTCTGGAAAAACATGAAGACCATGACATGAAAACTTGGAGCAAGAGGCAGCCAAAGTGGGCTTCCGGATTAGCGGGAACCAGGCCAAGGTCATGAGAATTGGTTACGTGACGGCACAGTATCCCACAGGTAGGACAGCAATGTCTGGTGGAGGTGAACCAATTCACCACCCTGGGCAGCATCCTTGCAGGCGACAGAGATGCTGATCATTAGTCGTGTGTCAGATTGTGAAAGCGGGTGCGGTTTTCCAGTGACTCTGGCTGATCTGGTTGATCCCGAAGATCGACCGGGCTACAAAGATCCATCTGCTCAACTCCATCATTATACCTACCGCGATCTGCACTTGTGATACATGGAAAACATCAGCCAAAATCGCCAAAGACTCAATGTGGCTCAACACTCATGTCTAAGACGGATCCTCCCTGTTTCTTACTCGGACCATGTCACCAATGAAGAAGTCCACCGCCGGACTGCCACATGTCCCCTCAATGACATTGTGACTGACCGGCCTTTTGGGGGACAAACACTGTGCCAACTCCCGCACCAACTGCCCAAGATCACCATCCCATGGAACCCACCCCTTGGAAGACACAATCCAGGCCGCCCCCGTACAACATGGCGGAGGACTTTCATCGGTGAGTTACACACCTTAGACAGCCGAAGCTGATCGATTGTGCTGGCGGAGATCTGCCGCCCAATGCAAACAGCAGGACCTAAGTCTAAGTAAGTCTCTGTTGTTAGACTAACAGAACACAAACCATGTGAAACCTCTGGGGACACTAAACAGCTGCAAATTTACTGGGTTTCTTTTTACTGCTGATGTGGTATTATAAATGAGTTTGAGTAAATTAACATTTAGTATTGTCAGAGAAAATCACATTTTCTCAGATTCTAATTTCTAGGATTCTTCTAATCTGAACAGAACAATAGGACACCATATGCTAGTTAGACTCTTTAACAGTGTGTGTATGCTGTTGTTGTAATGAGAGCAGGTTGCATTACAGAGTTACATAATGAGACTCTCAGCAGTGATACTTCAGCTTCTTCCCAGCGTAACATAACTGCTGGCTTGGTAAGCTGACACCACATGCACACTGTGTGAGACTGTGTCACCAGAACTCCTGTTACTGTTGTTGGAACAGATACAAGTTACAGCAAAGGCAATGCTGCCTTCATGTCCAAAGAAAACACCAAACTTTCGACTTTTTTCAGTGAAAACTTTTTGAGTTTGTAATAAACAACATGTTTTGGAGAGGAAAATGAATTTAATACAGGACAGAGTTTGAAAGCCAATAAACATAGATTGCATGTAAATATAGTTTTTTTATGCAGAGTCTTTGAAAGCAATGGTTACAATAAAACATTACTTATCATAAAAGCTATGAATGAGTATGTTTTCATGAAAAAATAAATATAATTGACGTTATCAGTGCACCTTTTATGATTATGGCTCCTCAGCATTCAGCATTATAATTGTTTTATGACATTAGATGCGAAAAAAAACTTCTATTGATTGAAAAAGTAGAATATAGTTAAGTGGTAACCACCAGAACCACCTCCGTATTATTTTTGATTTAAATGGTAGAAACGCAAAAGGACGACTTTTGCATTAAAACAACATGTTTTTTTGTTTATTTTTCCTTTTTTGTTTGTTTTTGCTATAATATAATGAGCTCATTTATTTTCTTTTTCTACGCATCTCTCTCTTTTAGCTTTTCTGACACGTTAATGCAACATTGATCTCCCCCACGAGCGCTTAAGTAAACCGCGCATGCGTCTCATCACCAGAATCTGCGATCGTGCAGCACTGTGGGTCCCGTTACTAAAAGGAAAATCCCAGGAAGTGTGACGGGATAAGGTGGCTGACGGACCCGGTGGGCCTGGGCGTTGTGTCAGCTGCAGACACCGGACAGCGCTGCGCTCAGACGGTTACCCACAGAGACTCCAGAGAGACTGCGCGAACTCTTGGAGCTGGCCAAGGTACGAGTCTCCGCGTCTGCTGCCGCTGGTCTCCTCCGAGGTGACAGAAAGCTGTCGGTATCTGCGACAGCCTTGATAACATCATACTTAACAGATCACACCTGTGTGTTCAAACCAGTAATATTATGTCATCACCGAGACCTGTGGCAGGGATCGATGGGACCTCTTTTATCCACTTTGGATGTCAGTGTCTTCCACTGATGTTTGAGGATGGTGGCTCAGCGCATTCAGCACTTTTACACAATGCTGAACAAACAAACAAAGTCTCAACTTGGCACATAAAACTTTAACAGTGAACTTTACAAGAAAATGTTATTCAACGCCGTTTCACAAGTTTTTGATGATGGTCGGAAATAATTAGGCATCCATTAGATTATTTATTTAGGTTGTAAAAGCATGTTGAAAGGATGGATATCATACTCAGATATAATTAGGAAACTGTGGCTGATTCATCATTGTATATATTAGTAAATATAAAAATGTAACTTTTGATAATTAAATTCTGTATGACTCATTTTGAAAATTGTACTGTACACTCACCTCTAAAAAGTTTTCTACAGCTCTGTTCAGAGCTTTGACATCATTGCAGAGACTGCAAAAAGAACCGCTGCTGTTTCTTTTTAAGCCATAAACCAGTGAGCTTCCCAGACAGAACTAAGCATGCATTCTGCCAGTGATGGGTCGGTCGAAATGGCTCTCAGAGCCGGATCTTTGAAGTGAACAAGGTTTTTTTTTCTTTCTCCTGCCCTCTCTTTCACTTTTTTTCGCTTCACGTTGCAAATCACCCTTGTGTTTGCGCTGAGCAGAGACGGCAAACAGAGCCTTGCGTTTGCGCCCCTCCCCCCTCTGCTCAGCGCTGAGCTGAGGGGGCGGGGCGGTAGTTACACTCGCAACAGCAGTAGCACACAACAAGAGCAGGAGGGAGAGGGAAAGAAAGAGAGCCGGGATCAACAAGAGACAACACCGTCACATTGGAAAGGTACAGTAAAGAAAATGAGTGACACCAAGAAAAGAAGCAAAGTCTGGAGCCATTTCAATCTTATTGACAAAACAAAGGCAGAGTGTACAAGAAAAGGATATCATATAGAGCCGGCTCCACAAACAACATGCACAGGCACCTGAGAACTGTCCACCCATCAGTGCAATGGGAAGATAAAACGCAGTCAGTTGAGTGTGATATTAATATTTCTAAATGCCAACCTTTGCCTTAATTAAAGATCTGGGCGTTCTTTTCTTTTTGTCGCTTTTTTTCCATATTTTAATTTATATTTGATTGTGTTGTGGTTTGCAGTGTTTTGTGTTGTTTCACTTTAAATTTGTTTAACAGGAAAAAGCTGAAAATTTAAGTAGTTAAAAGTTAAAATGTATGAAATGTAAATAGTTGGTTTGTGTATTTTATAATTTATTTATTACATTTTATGTGGAGTATATTTACAGTGGCCCCTAGAGACAAAGCACGTACAAACTCCAAAACGTACAAACTCCAAAACACAACGGAAGTGCTCCAGGATGCTAGGGGCCGTGTTGAGCTTTTACCTAGTGGCTACACAAGCCAGGAAGTACCAACAATTGGATTGGGTGTGTGGTAGTAACAGGTAAATGAGGGGTTTTTTTAAAATTATTTTAATATATATATATGAGTGTTTGTGTATTAATACAAAAACAATAGACATATGAATTCGATTGTGTAATTTAAGTGATCTAGTAGCTCTGTTTTGGAAGTTTAGTTAATGCTAGAAATGTGTTTTGGAGTTTGTACATGTTTCGTCTCTAGGGGCCCCCATAAAAATTTATGTATAAACATGCATAAAGAAAACCACGTTTTTTTACATTACTAATTCCTTTTGTGCATAATTTTATGTTGTTGTTGATAATTAATTAATTAAAGCAACAAAACAACCTGAAGAGCCGGTTGGGAGCCGAAAGAGCCGGCTGTTTTTAGTGAGCCGAGCTGAAAGAGCCGGTTCTCTAAAAAGAGCCGGAAATCCCATCACTACATTCTACTGGTGGTGGTCAGAGGGCCCGGTGGCGCCAGTGTCCGGCAGCCTCGCCTCTGTCACTGCGCCCCAGGGCAGCTGTGGCTACAATGTAGCTGCCATCACCAGTGTGTGAATGTGTGTGTGAATGGGTGGATGACTGAATGTAGTATAAAGCGCTTTGGGGTCCTTAGGGACTAGTAAAGCGCTATACAAATGCAGGCCATTCTTGATCTCCATCACACATGATACAAAAAATATAATTTGAGCAATTAACCATTCAATATTTCCTTTTTTCCTGTTTCCTTTAAATATGGATTTTTAAATATGTAACTTAGATATATTTCATGTTTATGTGTGATTGAAATTGAAATACAGCATGCAGGTGCATTGGATTGTGTGGTTTTTATTTAAATTCAGATGCGTTAGGGTTAGGGACCTGAAGGGATGGACATGATCAGCAACAACACTCAGGTTGGCTGTGATGTTTATGCTCAGTTGGTTAGTGTGCCAGTCTACTTCAACATTTGATAGGTTTTGCTTTCATAGATCAGGGCTCTAGACTACCTTTGTGCCATTGGTGCGCCTAACTTTTTTTCTTAGGTGCACCAGCACAAAAGTTAGGTGCACCCAAATTTTTCAACCACATTGCTTAAAACCGCAGTTTTACATGTGCACTTTTTGGGGTGGAAATTTGCTGTCCATACAGCCAATATTGATTTGTAAATGATTAACTAACAATCTTGTCAACACAAAGTTCTTCATTGGGGCGCGACCGTGGCTCAGGGGGTTGGGAAGCTCATCTTGTAACTGGAAGGTTGCTGGTTTGATCCCCAGCTCTGTCTGTCTTGGTCTTTGTGTCCTTGGGCAAGACACTTCACTTACTGCCTACTGGTGATGGCCAGATGGGCCGATGGCGCAATATGGCAGCCTCGCTTCTGTCAGTCTGCCCCAGAGCAGCTGTGGCTACAACTGTAGCTGCCTCCACCAGTGTGTGAATGTGAGAGTGAATGAATAGTGGCATTGTAAAGCGCTTTGAGGGTCTCAAAAAGCGCCATAAAAATACAGTCTATTATTATTTATTTGGAGCACAGTTCTACAAGAAAGATAAGTTACTGAAAAAGTGCTTAAAGTGCGTTGGCACTCTTTGGTAATATTGTAAGCAATGTTAAACTTAATCATCACATCGGCTCCTCTGACGACCTGTTTGCTGCTGCCTGCTGCTGAAAGGCCGTGGGCAGAGGGGACACTTGGGCAGTGCATTTATCACAGCATGTAATGTGTTTTCTGGACACGCTGTGCTTTTTCAGCGTTTCAGTTTAAAACGTATTAGCACCAGTCACAAATGCAGTATTGCCGGCCGCGGTCTGTCCACACCCACAGCAGTAAATGCAGTGCATCATGTTGTCAGCTTTACTGTATCTTAGCCAGGGAAACTGGTCAAGCCGCTCTCTTCCAAATGTATACCTTCTTTTACTTTCAGTGGGCTCTGGCTCGGAGTCGATCGTATGTGGCTCATTATGTGATGCTGTCTCCGAACCAGTGTTAGACATAACCTGAGAGGTTGATGGCTGTGTGTCAGAGCCATGAATCAGGCCTTAACAAAAAAGTTATCAATCGTTCTTTTCACCTTTTCTCGTTACCCACAGCTACATCTTCTTCTGTCAGCCACTAGGGCTGGGTATCATCGCTGATTTCTATAATCCATTCACTTCAATTCAATTTTGACTCAGACAGTCAGAAATATCATCATTCTGATCATTTATCAGTACTGACGATGTGAGACTTCATCAGAGGTGTGAGCATCACAGCAGAGGTCTTTGTGTCAAAGTAACTGTGAATAAAACAGAAAAACAAGAAGCAGATTTTCCTGTTCTGGCTTTTTATAGCAGATGACCTTAAAAATATTCTGCAGTAGAACAAAAACAAAGAAAACCATGAATCAACGTATGAACATTACCTGATGCTGCTGAAGTGAAGCAAAGTTACAGAGGTTTGATTACAGACACAGCTGAGTGTTTTGCAAATTGTCATCATTTTAAAAAGTTTACGTTTCTTCAGTATTGAACAGCAGACTGGTGCGCAATAAGCAAACAAATAATGCAGAAAACAGATTCGAGAAACTGTTCTTGAAGTACATTTTGGTGTGAGCCGTTGACCTTCAGCCCCGACGGCGTGTCTGTGTACGAGAAAGCTGACATCTCACTGACGCGTCAGGTCCACGCTGTGTGTTCACGTCTTTGTCTGGAATCCGTGTACCTGCTCTCATTTACTGTTTTAGCTGTTTGGTGGCTGTTGAAATCGTTTTGTGAGCTTCTGGCGTTTCTGGCAAAATACATTTATATTTAAAAATCGATTCAGGATTTAATGAATCAATATCACATCATTCAAGCTAAAATCCATTTTAATCGGAAAATCGATTGTTGAAACCCCCCCCCGTGCTCACCTCTTTCTATCCCCCTGCACTTTCAAACATACATCGACATCGACAGGAATGTCTGGACCACAGCCAATCAGAGAGGTCCCACCCCTGACTGTCTCTGATTGGTTTAGATCACGATAGGGGCATAATGTGTGTCAGTTGTTGACCACATGGAGGCTTTCCGAGTTGCGGACACTTTTTGTTATCTCTAACGGCTGGTCACACCAGTGCCACCTAGGATTTTTTTTAGTCGCACCACTGAGAAATTAGGTCGTATTTTCAACGCAATTTTGGTCGCACTCTAGAGCCCTGATAGATGCTCTTTTGTACACTTGGGTCGTATGAAGTGGTTCTTTGACTTCATGGTCCTTCCTGTTAGCTTGAAGCAGTCTAGTCTTTCTGCTTTGACATTTTGAATTTTTGCCCAGAGAACTACCACTGTTGGTTTTTTATGAGAGAAGACACATATGCTCAATTTTATCATCAATTGATTCATAGATTTATTATCAAACTGTTAGAAATTAGTTTTACATGGCACCTCGGACCTCTGTGGCTCAGAGACAAAGACTGCTGCACCCAGGCAACCGAACGTTAACATGATTGATTGAAAGGGTGGCCTTAGGTCTGAGCTCACGTGTCTTCCTCTGCACCTCAGTTGACATCTCCTTATATAGAGATCAACCTTTTGAAGGCAACACTCCCATTTCTATTAAAGTTTTAAGTCAGCCTTGAAGTTTTGTAACTTGGTGCCATCTCTAGAGCAGGCAGACCTCAGAGACTTCTCTCTGTTTGTGTCTGGAAGTATCTGTGTGTAGCAGTCTAAATCATGTTATCAATCTCCGGCTCTCTTCCAAAATTTGCCCCTCTGAAAAACTAGTTCATGCATTTATTACTTCCAGGCTGGACGACTGTAATTCATTATTATCAGGATGTCCAAAAAACTCACTGAAAGCCTTCAGCTAATCCAAATGCTGCAGCAAGAGTCCTGACAGGGACTAGAAGAGAGAGCAGATTCTCCTGTTTTGGCTTCCCTTCATGGCTTCCTGTTAAATCCAGAATTCAAAATCCTGCTCCTCACATACAAGGTCCTAAATAATCAGGCCCCATCTTATCTTAATGACCTTGTAGTACCATATCACCTATTAGAGCACTTCGCTCTCGCTCTGCAGGCCTACTTGTTGTTCTAGAGTATTTAAAGTAGAATGGGAGGCAGAGCCTTCAGTTTTCAGGCCCCTCTTCTGTGGAACAGCTTCCAGTTTGGATTCAGGAGACAGACACTATCTCTACTTCAAGATTAGGCTTCAACTTTCCTTTTTGCTAAGCATATAGTTAGGGCTGGACCAGGTGACCCTGAATCCTCCTTAGCTATGCTGCAATAGACGTAGGCTGCGGGGATTCCATGATGCATTGAGTTTTTCCTTTCCAGTCACCTTTCTCACTCACTATGTATTAACAGACCTCTCTGCATTGAATCATATCTGTTATTAACCTCTGTCTCTCTTCCACAGCATGTCTTTATCCTGTCTTCCTTCTCTCACCCAACCATCGCAGCAGATGGCCGCCCCTCCTGAGCCTGGTTCTGCTGGAAGTTTCTTCCTGTTAAAAGGGAGTTTTTCCTTCCCACTGTTGCCAAAGTGCTGCTCATAGGGGGTCATATGATTGTTGGGTTTTTCTCTGTATATATCATTG